TAAACCCTAAGCCCTAAACCCTTGAGTGAAGCCTTTCGTTCTCAAAGGTTCGTGCAGAGCATTCGTCCGCTGCTGGAGCCCCTCGTCCGGCTTTAGATCAGGGGCCCCAATGGGTTTGGGGTTTAGGGTTTAGGGTTTAAGGTTTAGGGTTTAGGGTTTAGGGTTTAAGGTTTAGGGTTGAGGGGGACATAAGCATAAGCATTTTTTTAGGGATCTCCCTACCCTATTGGGCTTCATTCTAAGGGGGGTTTATATGGGATCTCTCCTAAACCCTAAACCCTAAACCCTAAACCCTAAGTTCTGCTTCTGGGCTTTCTTGGGGGCCCGATTAGACCTCTAGTCGATGTGTGTTTGCTCAGTGTCGGGGTTTTGGAGGCTTCGCTAAGGGTTTAGGGGTTTAGGGTTTAGGGGTTTAGGGTTCAGGGGTTTAGGGTTTAGGGTTTAGGGGTTTACGGTTTTTCGTGTTACAAAGGGCAAGTTCAAGAGTAAGAAGACTAGCGGCTATTCAGAAGTCCTTCTTGCAAGGGTAAGATTCGAGAAGCAGGATGCTTGGTTATTGCGGATCCGAAAAGACTAAAACGGATAAAGGAAGGATCAACAGCCTTTTCTTGACAATGAGATAGGGGATGTTGGGGGTAGATATCATAATCATAAATCATGAAAGTCGAGTCTGGTGGAGCGTCGGGGTGGAAAACATTGAGTCGTGTTGGAGCGAGCGGCTCTGGGTATTCTACCGCCGAGCGAGCGAACGCCCTGAAAAATACACGCTACTTAAAGGATCATGGGACTTAGTAAGTAGGTTTATAACTAAGGTAACTATACTTATAACCCCAATTAAGGGACTTATAACCTTACTTACCAAGTCCCATTATCCTTTAAGTACACCACACAAATCGGGAAGTGCACCAAAACACCGTACACTCTAAGCCGATACCTTAACCCAAAACCCCAAACCCTGAACCTCGAACCCCCAACCCCAAGTCCTAAACTCGAAACCCTTAACCTTAAAAGTAGCTCTGAACCCTAAACCTCAAGCCCTGAACCCCGAAACCCCTTTCCCCCCAATGCCCCCTAGTTAAGGAATATACCTTAAGCTATAGAGGCCTTAGTATACCCTAAACCCTAAACCCAAAACCCTAAACCCTAAACTCTAAACCCTAACCCTAAACCCTAAGCCCTAAGCCCTAAACCCAAAACCCAAAACCAAAAGCCCTAAACC